TGTAAACCCTTCACATAGGGGACACCGACTTATGGAGTGTCAATTAAAAGGTGAAGTGAGAATGTACCGCACGAGCGCTGACTCAGGTAAACCCCTATATTTTTCTGCTTTCCATACTCGACATGGAATGATTTCCTCATTTTGGATTAGTTCCTTTTCATTTTTCCTGCAGACTCTTGCCTCTGTGATGCCCTGCTCGAAGAAACCTTGGATAGATCCGGTTGACCTGTCCCCAAGGTCGAGAAATAGATCTGGTTGCTACAGGAAGAGGTTCAACAACTAACCAAGGTAAGGTACGACTTGGCCCAACAGCAAAAGAAGGACAAACTTCACCATAAGGACAAGCTTAAGGCGAAGAAGCGGGAACTCGAGCAGGAGGCTACTCGACGCAAAGAGTAAATCAATGCGGAGAAGGCTCGACAAATGTTCTGGTCGACTCACGTTGGCCAAAAGTTTCTGAAGTCACAAGTCCACAACATTCCAGAAGAAAACCTTGAGCGTGGCTCTGGACTACTACACCATAAGTGTTGACGATGACGAGAATCATATTTCCTCTCCTAACTTGAAAATCTCAACCGCCCTTAATCGCTGCCGATCCGGTTGGTTTCAACCTATTTGCCATTTGGGATGCTCTACCAAACGTCCTAGTTGACTTCGAGGGCGATGTTACCATTTCACCAGAGCACACTTGGTGGTCGGGAGATTTTAGAGTGGACATGTAATACCCCGTTTGTTTATAAATAATTGGGATGATTTATTTTTGCATAATAGTTATTATTATTATTATTATTATTATTATTATTATTATTATTATTATTATTATTATTATTGTCATTAAATGTCTAATTGTTTTAATTGCTTATTATTATTATTATTAATAATAATATTGTGTGTATTATAAATATAAATAATTTGGTTTTATTTATTTATTTCGAGCCATATTCTATTAAATCGAATCGAGCGGAAATTCTTGGTTATCGCGTATATTTATTTTCAGTCCACTCTGATGATTAAATTCTAGCCCAATTGCTATGCCTTTATGTTGGCCTTTTTGCTATTTTTGAAGCCCAAATTAATTAACTATTTTTGCCCATATATGAGTACCAATTTCTCTTGGCCCAGCAAGATTTACATCGCACGACCGAGTCCTTCTTGAGCAGTTCGGATGTCGCGATTTTTCTGCAGATCTTACTCGCACGTTCTCGTTGATCACTCTCCTATACATATGACCGAACCATCTTCCTCATTCATCATTCTCTTCGTAGCCAGGTTCTCCAATCTCTCTCTCGCATCTGTTTAGTTAAAAAAAATAAATAAATAAATCGCGAACCATAAATTCCGGTGAAGCTGCCATAGTTCCCGGCGACCACCATCCTCCCCGTGCATTCAAACCGTCGAACCATCAGGCAATCTGGTCGCCACCCACCTCCGAGCAGCAGGGCACCATAGCAGACGACGTCCGCCATTAACGTCGGCAAAATCCTTCCAGCTCCGGCAGCCATATCCCTCCACCGGCGTCCTACTCAGCGGCAGTTCGCACGTCGTCGAGGCCAGAATCCTTCTCCGTCTGTTAGTAACAATCTCGGTCCCGTACTTCGAGGTTTTGGTCTGACGTTTCGAGGTTCCGGTCATCCGTACGTCCCGTTCGACCGTCCATTTTCTGATAACTTGTTTTCCCGAAGACGGGTAATCTTTTCAAACCGCTCTGTTGTTCTTTTCGTGCCATCATGTTGCTGAAATTAGTTTGCTCGTTGATTTGATTATCGTATATCGGTTGATTCGTATATTTGTTATTTATTTCGTTGCGTTGTTCGTGAATTTCAGGGCTAATCGGAACTCTCGTTTTGTGAGAAATCGGTTCGTGATGTTGCTGTGATAAATGTGTTGTGTTTCGAAGTCTCGTTTTATTGTTTCGAGCCTTGTTGTCGTCGTTGTGTCATTCGTTAGTTTTCGAACTACTTATTGTCGTTTCAACTTTCGACCCGGTTGCCGTTGGTGATATCATAGTCGGGTTCAAAATTGATTATAGTGGCAGAGCTGTGTTGTCTCTGTTTTCTGTTCGCAGCCTCTGTAGGTTACCCAGATTCTGTTCAAGTCTCAGGTTTTTATTTTTGATGTTTTCGGTATCAATTATAGTCGCAACAGAGCGTGTAGTGCGGCGGTCACTCTGCTTAGTTCTTTGAGTGAGGTCTTCGATTCGATCCTTGATGCCCGCTTTACTTTTTGAGCTTTTGTTCTAATTTTCCAGCTCAAGTAGACTCACAGTCCGCGCTCGGCCCGCGTTCGGCCCGATGAACCTCCCTAATAGTCTCAGCCCGCGAGACCGCCCTGGCCCGCGAAGCCCGATACCCGCACCAGCCTCATCATGCTTCAAATTTCGGCCCAATTTCCTTAGCTGTGGCCCGAATTCGCACTTAAGGCCCAACTGTTGGGCAGCCTTTGGCCAGCATGTTAGCAGCTCGGCCCAATTGACCTTTTTACCCTATTTTGAGTTCCGGAAGCCCCTTTTTCGTACCGATTTCAATTTTAAAAATATTTTTAAAATGATATAATTTTGGAAAAAATTATTTAAGTACCGAGACTCCAATTTAATTCTCCGAGTCCCATTTTTCAAAAATGAGAGAGTTCCAAGTCCACGAAATATCCGATTAAAACCCTTAAGTCTTAATTTTTATTAAGTATGGGTTTTATGTTAAATTTGAGTAGTGAGATAAATTATTGATAAATTATCTCGCTTAAATGTAGGTGTTTGAGGAGTCGAACCTCATCCTACGTACGTGCTTTTGTGTGCCATTTTCTACCGAAATTTCCAGGTGGGTCTTACTTAAATTGTCTATGCCATGAATGATGAATGTTTATATTTGTGGGTATGATCTATGCATGAACATGAAATATGTAGCCTATCGATGTGTGCTGTTACGGCCGTTGGTACGGTTATCCCCGTCGATGTAATATGGTTGCCCTTGTGAGGCAAGTCTCCTTAAGTCCTGATATGGTCGTGCCCTTGCGAGGTACGTAAGCCCATATGGAAGGCCGTGTCCGTAGCGTGGCATGTACTCCCGCCTTCGGGTAATGAATCCCCGTTCTGTAGCTAGCGATAGATGTACATGAGTAATGTGGTTGTTGTAATTTTGATAGGAGACGAGATATGATGTGATTATTTTATTTTCATGCTGCGACCATACCATCTTGACATGTTGTTATTTATGTGCATAGTAGTGAGCACTACGTTCATTTTGTGCTCACTCCCACCTGCTCTTCACGGATGCAGGTTAAGCAGGTACCGGATGACGGGAGGAAGACGAGTGGGTCGGTCTTGATTTATGTTTTTATGATTATGCTTCCATTATGAATGAAGTGTGGTCCTTGAGACGTGTTGAACTGTTTTTGAAACTTGTCCTTTTTGGGATTATCGGACCCTTTTGTTTAGATATTCGTATTGGAGTTATTTATTGAATATCATGTGTTTTCGATTATGCATGCTATATTGTTTAGGTAATAATCATGTGGAATTGATGTTTTAAAGGTTAATGAAAACCATGTGAACAACCAGATACGACTTGGTTGATTTTAAATGTTTAAATAACGCCCATGTTTTCAAAAAGGAGTTCGAAAAATTATGTACTGGTTTTTGGAAAGTTCGAAATTTCTTTAAAATCAAAGTGGGGTGTTATAGTTTGGTATCATAGTCAGTCTGTGGTTCTGTAGATTGGTTTATATGTGATTATGTGTTTAGACCTTGTAATATGACCACTCGTCTCCATCACTCCGCGCTGCTTAAGGTATGTTTTGTTTAAGTATTAATGAAATACTTGATATGTGATTGGTACGCTTGTGGCAATGAAACTACTTGTGTTAAATTTGTGATTTGGGGCTTAGGATCTATCCACCTTGATTTAATCGAACTCTAGTGTTAATTGGCGAACTCTAGGCTTCTGTAATTATGATTATTTTGTTTGTTTTGTGCTAAACCTTGTTCGGCTTATTCAATGTAGAATCATGAATACCCGCAACAATGGTAACCGTCAGCCATCCCCACCTCCTTCTCCGCCTCGTCATCACTAGGCCCCTCCGGCCATGGATCTTACTCAGCTTATTGTCCAGTTTCAGAGGATGAATGCACCAACTTTTGCGGGGATTGAGAACCCTACAGCGGTGCTGGAGTGGATCAAAGAACTGGATAAGATCTTCGTTGTACTTCCCCTCCCTGACCGTCAGCGGGAATCCCTCGCAGCTTATTAGATGAAGGAGGACGCTTTCGACTGGTGGATTGACCACTGGGCTCGGAGGCCAGAGGCGGAGCTTCATGCACTCACTTGGGAGCAAATGAAGATGATGGTACATGGCAAGTTCCTTCCCCAGAGCTTTTGGGACAAGATGGAGCACGAGTTCTACCATTTGCAGCAGGGAAGCTCCACAGTGGATGAGTATATCCGCACTTTCACCCGAATGTGCCTTTTTACGGGCGACGCGGTGAATACCGATGCCAAGAAGGCCCGCAAGTTTCTCAAGGGGCTCCATCAGAGGATCCGTAAACTGGTGGGGAGTCACGGACTGATGTCTTTCGCTGACACTGTGAGTCGGGCTCAGGAGGTGGAGAGCTGCCTCATCCCGATAGCTCCGGTCCATTCATATTATCATGCCTCCCAGCCTTCTCAGAGTCTTTTTCAGCATGCTCAGCCCATCTCATCCGTGCCGCCCGGCTCTAGTTCGGGCAAGAGGAAGGCAAATTCTCACCGGGATAACCGGAAAGGAAAGCGAGGAGGTCCCGACCGGCGCAATCATCCCTCTTCTGGAAACCGAACCTGCAAGAAATGTGGCAAGTACCATAGTGGCGAGTGCTTAGCCGACCAGTGAACCTGTTTCAACTGCAACCGTTCAGGCCATGATGCCAGTGTCTGTCCGGAGCCCAAAAGGCAGCAGCAGTTCCCTCAGCAGTAGCAGCTTCTCCCACCGTCACCTCATCAGCAGCAGCAGCAGTCCCCACCGTTCCAGCAGAGGGCTGGGGGACAGGCCCGAGTCTATACCATCACCCACGATGAGGCCGCCCGCAACACAGGTACTATGTCCGGAATGCTTTCTGTCTTCAGCGTGCCTGTCTTTGCATTGTGTGATCCCGGTGCTACTCTTTCTTTTATCTCTTCTCATTGCTTAGAGGCCTTGTCTATTAGCACTGTGCATTCTTGTGATCCTCTCGAGGTTAGTCGAGCCTCGGGAAAAATTATTATCTCTGATTCGGTGGTTCGCAATCTTTCTATTTGTATTGGTGGTCGAGTTCTGGAGGCCGACATGTATGTAATTGAAATGCGAGACTTTGACGTGATCTTGGGCATGGACTGGCTCACCCGTTACCGAGCTGATATCCGGTGCCAAGAGAGCGAAGTCACCCTCTATCCGTTTCCGATCAGCCTGTTGTGTTCTATGGGGTGAATTAGAGGACTGTGCCTCGAGTCATCTTTTCTATGCAAGCTAGGAAGAGCCATTCCAAGGGTAGCTGTCAAGGCTATCTTGTTTCCTTGGTATCCGATGTTGCCGATGAGCGGGTACCCAAGAGAGTATCCATTATTTGCGAGTACCTCGACGTTTTTCCTGATGATTTGCCCGGAGGACCACCAGACCGCCAGGTGGAGTTCACCATTGACCTAATTCCAGGAGCCGGCCCCGTTTCTAAGGCCTCTTATCGCATAGCGCCAAAGGAGCTTCAAGAGCTCAAGGCCCAGATCCAGGAGTTGCTCAAGCTCGGTTTTATTCGTCCGAGTGTCTCGCCGTGGGGTGCGCCCGTCCTATTCGTGAAGAA